TTCACTTCCTAAATACTGTACATTTATTTGTAGAAACACTCTGTTTCAGGAAAAATAATGTGTTCCTTTTGGGAGGATGTTTCATCACACAGCCTCTCATTACTCGTGTGAAGTGCCAAGAACCTTGAGAGGGCAGGAAAAAAAATCCTTCCTCTCTAGCTTCTTGCAGCTTTCCTTTCGACAGCGCTCAAGTACAGGCTGATTGGCTATAGAGCCACAGGGATTTGATGAAACAAAGCGTTCAACAGCAATACAGAATCCAGATGCTTCTATCTCAAGGGAAGTATAAGATATGACCTTGGTTGATCGCCGGTGAGCATGCGAGCTGCCAGCAAAACTCAGAAGTCCACGGAAAAAGGCATAATTCCCTTATTGATTTATATTTTGAAGCTTTTATTATCATAATGTGATGTGCTGCAAAATGAATATCTTTACAGAAAGCTTAGAATAGCATGGAATTTTTTACTACCATAGCTGCTGACACTTACCAAACAATCTTATCAATGCCTCTATCTGTAATGACAACAAAATGTTATGTTACACAATATGTTAATGCCTATAAAGCACTGAGTACATGGGGTATTTTTAATTCGAAAGATGAGCTCATGATGGGTGAGATTTAAATAACCACATTTAAAAAACTCTCAATGTGAAACTAAATTTGGTTTCCTAATGCTACACAAATTTGATAGTCATCAAAAATCCTTCTTTACTCTAAGACAGGTTTTTTTTGGAAAGTGGAGAGATATATTAAATAAACAGGATTCACCAATGATAACATTCCTAAAAGTTTATATCCATAGATTTACATGCAGATAAGACCACTGCCACTAAGTACATACTTTAATCGAGATGAAAAAAAAAATTTTCTTAAAGCTTGTATATAAATTTTGGGGCAAGTGAATAATTAGAAATACATTTCTAGAAACAAGAAGGCTTTTCAACTACCCCTCTCACATTAGTTAACATGCTCAGGTCTTTCATACAATAAATATCCTAGGTAGAATTTTTATCTCTTGATTCTGTGCTTTTTCCTCCCACTTTTTCCTCCCACTTTTTCCTCCCTTCTCCATAATATGAATATGGTGACCTAAGCAGACTATTTAATGAAAAGGGCACTTTTTAATTAATCATTTAATTATCTTTAAAAATTAATCTCTGTCAGATTTCATTTAATACAGTTAAATCAGCAATTTAGTAAACTAACACATTGCCAACTACCACTGATAATAAATGATGAGCTGAAATATTTTGATAACTTCTCTTTTTAAATATGTATTTTAATTTTTTTAAGATTTTATTTTTAAGTAATCTCTACACCCGATGTCGGGCTCGCACTCACAACCCTGAGATCAAGCGTTGCATGTTCAACTGACTGAGCCAGCCAGTGCCCCCATTTTGATGACTTGTTGGACATCATAAAATAGGTCTGTTTTCTTTAATAGGAAAAATCACTTCTGTTAGACTTAACTTATAAAAGCTTTTACTAGTTAGCTGCAGCACTGAATGATTTAGCTGATCACACCATTTCAATCTGCTGTCCACATATACAAACACAATTTGAACTACAATTATCGTTTTAGTTTAAATTTAAAACTTATTTGTTTTAAATTAATAAATATGAAAATCCACCCATCTTTTTAATACCTCAAAAAATCAAATCACTTTCAGTGCTTAGGGCGCCATACCATTCCTTGCCTTTATGCATATTAGATTTTCCCTGACAGTATGTTAAGATTTTGTGTTTGATTTTTCTTAACATTATCTCATGAGCATTTTACATAATTGTCATAAGGTCTTCATAACTATCATGAAAATAAATTGTATAAGTCACCATAACTTAAAGCATTTTCCTTCTCTGAGACCTGTTATCTTTCCCTTCTCCACCTCCAACCCCCATTTTTTTTAACCCCCGTTTTTTGGTACTACCACTAACCACCACCTTTTTCACTTATGTAGTTTTCCCCTTGTTTTTGATGTTTCCCCCTTCAGGTAAATTATCTGAAGTACAGACTTATAGATACGAATATTATTATGGCTCTTTTATTAACCCAGTGCTTTCTAAATTTCATTGCCATCAGTCACAAAGTATGTACCTATGATTTACGCTGTGACTTTCACCAGCACTTAGGTATCAGTAGTTTTTATTGGAGAGAGGAGTGCTAATTTCATGGAGATGAAATTTCTGTGATTTCACACTAATGGAATATCATTAGGATTATTTTAATCTGAATTGTTATTATTATTGTTAAATGTTTTCAAATGTTCGCTAATCATACTTGCTATTGTGTGGAATGCCTTTGGGGGTTATGTAAAAAATTTACATGTGTTTTTTGCTAAATTAAATATAATAAATAATGTATTTATTATAAGTATTTTGCAATGTGAGTTTTTTGTTGTTGTTGTTACTTCAAAGCTCAGGTAATGATCTTACCAAATGTCTGATAAATAAGCAATATCCCCGTAATTTGATTTTTTAAAATTATCTATTTAATCCATCTGGAATGTATTTTGGCATATGTTGTGAGATGTGTATCTAAATTACTTCTTTTTCAAACTCTAACACCACAACCATTTATTAAATACTTCTTCCCTTTGCCATTGCTCTGTAATGCTCTATTCTTTTACATTAAACTCTTATATATAACATGTTGAGATTTTTCTATACTTTCCTAGATCTAGCAGAGTTTCAAAAAAGATAAGTTATATAATCTTCTATTATGATTTGAGATCTGGAATGGCTTTTCAACATTTATAGTTTCTTTTTTAAAATATACCTTTATTCTCATTAGCTTATTTTCCCAAATAGATTTTTATCATTCTATCGCCTTCTAAGAAAATGCCCTTGAGGATTTTATTGATATTATATTATACTCATATGTATAAATTAATGTGGAAAGCTTTGATAACTTTATTTATCTTTATATCCAGAAACATAACTCATCTTTACTAATTCACCTAATTCTTTTACAATTCACAATAAACAACATTTTAAAGATATGTCCAATATTATACAATTAAGGGGAAGCATGAGGTAATGGAAAAAGTGAAGACTATGGAATGAGACACACACATACACTTATGTACCTAGGCTCAAATCGTGTGTGATACTGGGCAAGATGCTTAGCCTCTGAGCCTTAGGTATTTCCTCTTAAATTGAAGGTAGTGGCACTTACAGAATTGATGCAAAGAGTAGGGATAATGTATATAAAGCTATTGGAGCATTTATGTACCCAAGAAATGTTAGCTATGATCATAATTTCCAGTATAACATGTGCTTAGTAGTTAACATTTTACCAAGTTCTTTCATGTATATTATCTCACTTGTTCTGTTGATCTTCATGAAATTCCATCAGATGATCATGTTGTTGCTATTATCACTATTAAGACCAAATAGGTACAATGCATCTTCTTTTATTTATTTATTTATTTTTTAAAGATTTTATTTATTTATTTATTTGAGAGAGAGAATGAGAGAGAGAGAGAGCATGAGATGGGGGAGGGTCAGAGGGAGAAGCAGGCTCCCCGCTGAGCCGGGAGCCCGACGTGGGACTCGATCCCAGGACCCCGGGATCATGACCTGAGCCGAAGGCAGTCGCTTAACCAACTGAGCCACCCAGGCGCCCTGCATCTTCTTTTAAATCAAAAACAAAAGCTCATCTCATATCATCATGACATATGTAAATGTATTTGCAGATCCCCTACATTACACAATAACCTTGTCCCTGAATATTTTATGGTTTTTTATCTGCTATGATCATTGTAATTGTCCTTTCATTACATTTTCTATTAGTTTTGCCTGTTTAAGGCAATGCTTTTGATTTTAGTGTGTTTGTTTCATACTCAACAGTTTTATTGAGATTCTTATTACCCCCTTAAAACTACTGTTAATTTTTTTGGTTTTCTGGGTTGTCACATTTCCAAAGTAAATTCTATGTTATAGATCATATATTAATAAAATATAGCCACTTAATTGAAAAATGGAAAAACTAAGACTAGTTATCTACTGTGGTATCATGATATAGTAAAATCTTCCTGTTGGAAACATAAATATAAGATCTTTTAGCTATTACTAGTCAGTTTCTTTTAACTTATAGATTGTATTACTTTAAGAATTTTTCTCAGTCCTGCAATCTTCACAATACCTTTCATGACAGGAAGGGCTCACATTACAGTGTGGCAGAAAAAGGAATCATTGAGAAGGCATACATCTCTTTTTTCCTTTGTGGGCTTTACATATTATTCTTTTTTTTTTTTTTTAAAGATTTTATTTATTTATTTGAGACAGAGAGAATGAGAGAGAGAGAGCACATGAGAGGGGGTAGGGTCAGAGGCAGAAGCAGGCTCCCTGCCGAGCAGGGAGCCCGATGCGGGACTCGATCCAGGGACTCCAGGATCATGACCTGAGCCGAAGGCAGTCGCTTAACCAACTGAGCCACTCAGGCGCCCGCTTTACATATTATTCTTGAGGATGAAGGATAAAAGAATGGGTGGAAAGAAGTATAAACTGCATGCACTTGACCACTTGGGAGAGTTTTGCAGCTTTCTCATCTCTTCATGCTGGCAAGCTCTTTCTCATCATAACCTAGACCTTCCACTCCCAAATGCATCTATTTTCTCCGCCCCCCCCCGCTCCCCGCGTCCCCCACCCCAGAATATCATTTCAGCTATGGGAGGATACATTTTTGTGCCTGGACTTGTCTTTCCCTATCTACTCTCAGTAGGGTGCTTCCTTAAAATTAATGATAATAAAATACCATTGTTTTCATTGAGTCAGTTGATTAACACAATCAAATAATCCACTGCCAAAAGCAATCCAAATAGAAGAATCTACCGCTACCTCAAAGAGATTTCATTTTTACTTAATCATGTCTTGTTTTTAGTCAATTACAAAAACAAAACAAAAGTAGTAATAAAGGTTTAAAAAAAGGACCAAGGTGACACAATTATTTTCACTGCAGAACCAGACAAGCAGCTTCAGGTATGGTTTCCATACTCACGGGGAAAATGATTCGAGGTGGATGGATTGACACTGTCCCCACTGTCAGCACTTTCACTGCTGGAAACTTCATCATCTGATTCCCGCACAGAAGAGCAGGGTGAGGAGCCGTCAACTTCTTCAAACTTCCTCTTTAAAATTCCACTCATAGCTGCAGCGCTGTCACATGTACCTGTAAAAGGAACGAGAGCAACGAAGCATTGAAATATTTGACCGCTAGATGTGTAGCCAAGGTCTCCAGAGTCATTTTATGTGGTTTTATTAAACATGAGCTGAGCCTTTCCTTGGAAGGATCACTAAGCAGAGTTTACTTTTTGTAATATTTTCAAATTAACAAAAATTAAATTAATACGAGCAATTGAAAATTTGGTTACCAAAATGTATCATTTTGTTAAAGCCACAGTTCATTTTAATGTAATATCTCTATTCCTTTTTTGTTGGCAAATTGAGAAAATCCACCTGAGTCATGAAGTTCTATAATGAAAAAAATGCCAACGTCACCCAGAGTCCTAAATGATTCCTGCCTTATACAAAATTCATGTGGAAGAAACACAGATAATTATGCAAAAACTTGAGAGTCGAGTTTTAAAATGCAAGAACCTAATTAGCTGAACACAACAAAGCCTATGAAATCAGTTCTAAATTTTAGGTAGTTTCCATTTCAATACTGCAATGAGATGAGATGTGTTCCTAGGACCCCTGGTTATTGAAGCCCTTGCCACGGTTTCAGAAAATTCTAAGGCTATTTACCTGAGAGACAGCGCTGAGTGGGAAGGGGGAAGGGTGGGAGTGGTTTCTCCTAAATGCTTTCTCTAGGATGAATGGGCTTTTCTCTCTCCTTGGGCTGCCCTTTCTCCACCTTTCCCATTTACCTTGACGTCTGCACACTCAGCTAAAGAGCATAAACTTTCCTTGCAGTGTAAGGATATTTTGGGGAATAACCTATATATAAATTAGCTTAGATATATATGTACATGGTCTTACATTCCTAAATTAGGTTAACTTTGCTGTAAGTATTACTAAGTTGATTTCATGTATCCCATCTTCCATCTTATTTATGTCAGCTGATTTTAACTCTCATTTGAGTTTGTAAAACCATTCTCTCCTTTTCTTGCCAGAGTGTAGCCATCAGTCCTGTTGATCGAGAGGAGGCAAGACTTAAAAACTGTTCTCGATACTGCCCTCAGACATGTCTGAAATCACCCCTTCTCTGTGCAGATCACACAGCAAGCAGCCTGTCCAGGTCCCTTCAGCAGAGCCAGCTCTCCAAGGTCTAATTCTGTAGTTTTTTAAGTGGGCTACTTGGATTAGCAGCATCAGCATCACCTGGGAGGGAATTTGTGAGAAACGCAAATTCTCGTGCCCCACTTCAGGTCTACTGGATCGGAAACTCCCAGGAGGCAGTGCCTAGCACTCTGCATACTCAAATTGGAGGACGACTTGTCTGATTTCTAGTCTTCTCTCCAGCAGCTCCCTTCCTAGGTTCTTCCTTCCTTGGGGGTGTCCCCATACCAGCCCTAGAGTGACATAACCCAGTCTCAAAACCTAATCAAAATCTCTTCTTTCACTATCTCTTGTGTGATTTCTAGTAAAATTAAGTATAGTATTAGATGTCTCATAAGTATTTATCATTTATCTCAATTTACTCATCTAACTACATGTTGAGTAATTGGTATGTATATATGCTTGACTCCTTGGGTGGAGTAGGAGATAGAAAAGGGAGTAGAACAGGTTACCTGTCCTCGAGGAGCAAACATCCACTATGCTGGCTCCATCCAACTGAGAATACTCCTACTGCCTTGTTTTACCAATCCATGTCTTTTGCATGACTTATATTAACAATGGAGATAACTGATAGCCCTAAGAAGATATTGCACTGTCCACTCTCTGAGAATAAAATCTCTATTCTGACTCTGATTTTACCACTATTCAAATTAGCATATTATTTTCTCTATCTTAAAGAGTGTGAAATGCATAAAATGTTCATGCATATCTGAGCAGGGCAAGAGAAAAAAAAGATATTTTAAATAAAGTTCTTGAAATAAAAGTAGGACAGGATATAAATTTTAAAATGGTTCACTTCAAACAAGATGCAAAGTAATTCATGAGGGAGAGACTCCAAGACAAAAAGTAATACAAGATGGGAACCCATGTTTAAAAAGTACATTTTTATAATAAGGTATTGCAATGGGAACAGTTAAAAACCATATCCTTAAGTTCCATTTCCCCATCCCAGCTTCCTTAGGAAAGGCAGATGTCTCAAGAACCAAGGATATTCAATTGGACTGCAGGGAACCATGTTCCAATATGGTAAAAAGTGGTACTAGGTACTCTTCAGAAATGAGAGGGGAAATTTTTGGAGGGATGGTAAGGAAATTGAAAAGTCTCTCTTTATTTTTGCTGTTATATTTGGGACTGGTAAGCAAAGGAGTTGAAGGTTAGATACAATTTTTGCCTACATCTTTGAGATTGAAAGAGAGCCTGAGCTAGACACAGTTCGAAGGAAAGAAGAAACGTTTGACCACTTAGTTTGGGATTAGTATGTAAGCTGGAAATTAAAATTTCAAATAATTACAAAGGGGCATAACCTTAACATATACCCATGATGCTGGTTAAGTGCTAAACTTAACCAATATTGTTAAGTGCAGCAAGCAAGTATAACACTTATTTAGTTGCATTGCCTTTAAAAAATACTACATGAGTGTAACAAGATGTCACAACAAATTAGGAGGATGAAATGACCCACTGCTTATAGGAATGTAACCCCTCATCTAAACCCAACGTGGGGTGGTAAAAAGAGCATGTGGTTTTCTCCTACATCATCTACACTATCTCACTAGGGAGGAAAAGGATACGAGAATTTAGGGAAAGGCCCTGTTGATAAAGGAGTTGTATATTCCTGGTTTGCTTGTATCCTGTACTGGTTCTCTCAGAATTCGAGGATGACAATACATGGCTAGTTAGGTACAGATGCAAGTGAGTAGAATGAATGCCTGTCTTATGGCTGCCACGGCTCCTTAAATATCCACTTATCATATTTTTGTTCCTAAAGATGAGGCATAATTAAACTTCATGGATATGAAGCCAATGAAAAAGTGGTCAACATTTCAAATTGGCTTTATATAGCATCAAAGCCCAAAGAACAGAAGATAAATCTGGACAGGCATTAATTTGTTCTAAATATGAGAAGCTGAAAGTCTAAGCCTCAATAACAGCCATTTTAACACAGCTACTGTTTTCCAATTCATGAAACATATGCTAGTCAAGAGCATCACCATTTCTCATTTGGACTAGGACAAGAGCTTCCCAATTATTCTCTCCCATCCACTACTGTTTGCTTTCAATGTGTTTTCCAGGTTGCAGGCAGAATGATAAATCTAAAATGCAAATCTGATCATGTCAGTCTATAGCTTAAAACTCTTAAGTGGCTTTGGATTGTCTTAGGATGAGTCCAAAATCCTCAAAATGGCTTATAAAGACCTTAACAATCTACTTTGGCTAACCTCTTCATTTTCATTTTGAGCCACTGCCTTGTTGTCAACTATTTTAGCTCTAATAATCTTTCAGTTTCTCCAACCCACCACTTCTCTCTGGCCTCCCGGACTGTTGATATACCATTCCTTCCAATCTCCTATCTAATTTGTTTTCCCATAGCACTTACCATCTTCTAAATCCATGTTATTTATTTATATATTTCGATGTTTACTGCTTACCGTGTTCATCCCCTGCTAAGACAAGGGCAGGGATCTTTGTCTTCTTTACTGATGTACCAACAGTCTAGCATAGTGCCTTATAGATTATAGGTGCTTAATAAATGTCTGTTGATGAATGAATAAGAAAACCCTTCCATTTCTATACTTTAACTACTTTATCAGTGTCTGTTTTCTCTGCTAGTCTGAAAGCTCCATGAAACAATCAGGTTCATCTCATTCACTACTCTATCCCTCCTGACTAATAAAATATCTGGCATTTTTGATTGAATGAGAATCAAAATGAAAGATAAAATTGACCTCAAAACGTCATACAATTTTTTTTTTTTTTTTGCTTGCAAGCAACCCAAAAGCAAATTCTAGCTAACTTAAGCACACAGACATCTGTTGGAAAAATACTGAACTAGTTCATGCAATCTAAGATCGAGCTGAAATCCAAAATTAAAGGAATGCAGGAATAAGGACATCTTCTAGGATTATGACTGTAGAAATTCCTTGATCTTTTCTCTAGAGCACCACCGTTACCAGGTTTAAGCCCAGGAACTTCTCTCTATGTCTCACAGTTCAAGTTTAATGTTCCAAGGAGTAAGTAACAGTTTAGCCCATCTTGGGTCAGAGGTCAGCCCTTTGATCACTCAACTGCATGGCCAGAAGGCAAAGAGCCACTCAATTAGGTACTACTCCAGAGAATCTCACTCAGAGGCCTCAATAAGTTCAACTGCATTTCAAAGCCAGTGTTTTCTCCTTGTCTAACACTGATTTATCTTATTTTTTCATTTATTAATATAGTCTATAAATTCACCACTTGGACAGCTTCCCCTCTCCCTGCACCCTCATACCCTTCCTATTGCCAAGTTTAATTAATAACCACTTTGTTATAAAACTCTAATAAGCATCTTGTGGTCTTGGATATCCACTCTTCTTGACTAACATATACTATTGCTCTCAAATTTTTATTGGATGTAACCATTGCTCAGAAGCCTCTGGGCACATTTAATGAAAAAGTAGTAAAACAGTATAAATGTTTTCAAATCTCTCCACACACACACAAAAAAATGTCGATGAACTACACTAGATGTTTTATGGTTATAAGTGCAATTCTTTTGTTTAATGTATTTCTGGAAAAAATATCAGCAGCCAGAAGGATGCAGACTGAAGTAAGTGGGAGAGCTTCGTTAAGAATGCCAAATCAAGAAGCTGGATAGAAATGTACATTTTAATGCATTTGGAAGAATGACTGAAGCTAACTTTGGATATTTGTTGGAATCTTGTTCATATCACTCTCTTCTGACAGCGTAAAAATTTCATAGCTTTCATAGGTAGCTCATTGAGTTCTTACTATCCCACTTATATTCATCTAATGTTTAATCCTGTTTTCTCCTTTCATTCTGTCCTGATGTCATAATGCTTTGCTATGTATCATAAGGAAATGACCACAGAGAATATGCCTTAAGAATATCAC